TCGAACCTGCGGGCTCAGGCAATCCACTCACCTCAGCCTCCCAAAGGTGTGGGATTACAGGCTGAGCCACCGAGCCCGGCTCATACATGTGCTTTAAAAGGAATCATCTCAAGTTTCTTTCCAAAACTGATCACTGACCACAGGTCTTGAGCATCATTTGATGTTTTCAGTAACTTAGCAGTCAGAGGCTGTGTGTCCACGTAGCACCTCCCTCACCCTGAGGTCACCTGAATATCAAGTGGTGCAGAACGTCTAGAAAAAGATACGATGGAAAACAGTCCTCAACTACATTCCAGTCTTGGTTTGTTTCAGCCCATGTATGCCTCCTGCAGCTGGCTTGACTAGCGTTTAAAGACTCCCCATTCATGGGCTTGTTTGCTCACACCTGCAATCCTGGCACTTTTGGAGGCTGAGGCGGGAGGATTGCTTGAGTCTAGGAGTTTGAGGTCAGCCTGGCAACATAGTGAGACCTTGTCTTTATAGAAAATAAAATTAACTGGGTATGGTGGCATGAGCCTGTAGTTCTAGCTACTTGGGAGGCAGAGATGGGAGGATCACATGAGTCCAGGAGGTGGAGGCTGCAGTGAGCTGGGATCACGTCACTGCACTCTAGCTTGGGTGACAAAGTGAGACCCCTGACTCAAGAAAAAAAGACTGTGTTCAATCAGCAGATATTTATTATTTGTGCTTATAACGGAGGGAAAAATAGGCTGGGTGAAGTGGCTCATGCCTGTAATTCCAACACTTTGGGAGGCAGAGGCGAGAGGATTGCCTGAGCCCAGGGGTTTGAGACCAGCCTGGGCAACATGGCAAGACATCATCTCTACAATAAATCAAAGAATTAGCTGGGCATAGTGGCATGTGCCTGTTGTTCCAGCTACTTGGAAGGCTGAGGTGGAAGAATCACCTAGACCCAGCAGGTTGAGGCTGTAGTGGCCATGAGTGTGCGCCACTGCAGTCTAGCTCAGGTGACAGAGTGAGACTCTGACTTTAAAAAACAAAAACAAAAACCAAACAAACAAAAAACAGGGAAAAATACACTGTTAAGAAAATGTTGTAGACTGACAAAAAAGCTTTTCCTTTCTTCCTCCTTTTAACAATTACATATTCTCTGTTAAGAATTTTAAGCAGGCCAGGCTAAGTGGCTCAGCCTGTAATACTAGCACTTTGGGAGGCCGAGCCAAGTGGATTGCCTGAGCCCGCGGGTTCGAAACCAGCCCAGACAACTTGGCGAGACCTTGTCTCTACGATAAATAAATAAAAATTAGCTGGGCACGGGAGCACACGCCTGTAGTTCCAGCTACTGGAAGACTGAGGCAGAAGGATCGCCAGAGCCCAGTAGGGCAATGCTGGGGTGGCTGTAAGCGTGCCACTGTACTCTGGCCTGGGCGACGGAGTGACGCCAACTCAAAAAAAAAATACAGATCAAGAAAAGTAAAGTTTCTCAGTTACTTATCACCCACATATAGCCATAACATTTTGTGTATGTTATTCTAAAGCTTTCCTATGCAAGAGAAGTATGTCCTAATATTCTACGTGGGTCCTGACACTAGAGTTAGACTACCTGGGCTCCAACGCTGTCTTGTCACTTACAGCTGTGAGGGCTGATAAACTGGGGAGAGGAGAGTGCACTCTTGAGTTCTTGTGAGGGGCAGGTGGCTTTAACATATGACATGCTCAGAGCTGTGCACAGCATAGAACAAGAACTCAACAAATGGGAGCGACTATCCTACGTCAGGACACATCATGTCATGCCGTGCCACATCTTTTCAGATCTGTTCACAAACACAGCACACACACAATGTATGCCTGCTACTGACCTGTATGCCAACTGACATGTGTACAAGCCTGCATTACAGTTCTTATGCTTAAAAGCACAAGATTAGATCAACTTCAAGGTTCTCCACTTTTCCTCCCCACACACAACCTATCATGAAAGTGTTTTCATATAAATATAGATTTGAGGCCAGGTACGTTGGCACATGTCTATAATCCCAGCTGAGGCAAGAGGATTATTGAGACCAGGAGTTCAAGACCAGTCTAAGCAACATAATGAGCCCTTGTCGCTACAAAAAATTAAAAAATTTAGCTGGGTGTGGTAGTGCGCGCCTGTAGTCCCAGCTACTTGAGAGGCTGAGGTGGGGGATCTCCTGAGCCCAGAAGGTGGAGGCTGCATGGTGAGCTGTGATTGTGCCACTGCACTCCACCCTGGGTGACAGAGTGTGACTCTGACTAAAAAAAAAGTGTGTATGTGTATATATATGTGTATATATATATATATATATATATATATATATA